GCTGCCAAATACTATAGGCCTTTCCTCATCCTCAAGAAGATTGGAGCAGTAGCATATCGACTGCAACTCCCACGTGGCTCTTCAATTCACCTTGTGTTCCACGTCTCACTTCTTAAGAAGGCAACATGAGCTAAGGTGAGAGTCCAACCTGCACTACCAGACTATGACAGTCAAGGGAATCTCAAAGTTGAACCTACGGAGATTTTAGCCAGGAAGGTTGTAGATCGAAACAATCAAGCGGTCACCCAGGTACTCATCCAATGGTCTCATTAGGATATTGCGGATGCTACTTGGGAGTTTCTGGATGAATTCAAAGTCAAGTATCCTGAGTTCAAAAGTTGAGGACAAGTCTTCATTGAAGGAGGGAGTTTTGTAACGGATTGGACCATGATGTATTAGAATAGAAGAAATCAGGGCCAAAAGAGAAGGATGGACTGTAGTGAATAAAGACAAAATGGGGTGTGGTTGTAATTGGCCAAAACGGGTCGTATAAATAGACTCGGGCTCACTTGTAACGGAACATTGGATTTTAATAATACTTTCCATTTTCTTCTTCTCTCTCTTCCTCTCTCTCTTACTTTGCCAATTAGTTCCGTAACAAACTTTACCTCCTGTACAACGGCCTCTACACAATCTCTGGAGAAACGATCGCCATTGTTATCACGTCGAGCTTTATAGATTATCCACCCAAGCTGTGACATAATTACTCTGGCGTTTCTTTCTCACAACAAATTCTGAAATAGGGGCGACTCTATGCAAGGGGCTGATAAGGGGGTTGGGCACCATCTTAGCAAGTTCGTTAGCGTTTCTAATCGAGTTCATCGTCGAGGCAACAAGGCAAGTGGGTCGTGCCATCTTCGGAAAAAATTCCAGAATACACTAGTTATTAAAATAATTTCCCAAAATATAGTAGTTATGAAAATATTTCCCAAAATACAACAGTTTGATCATCACCGCCGTCGACTCAGTGATGACATTCACCGTCGTCCTCAATGACATTGAAAATTATCACCGCTGCAAAGAAAAAAGGTGAAGGTATCAGCGTCTTAGAGAAAAGCGGTGAACCTATCACCGCATTGGAGAAAGACGGGGACTAGTTAATCGTCTACGTGTACAGCGGTGAAATGTCGGATCTGGAAAGAAAACCAGAATCTGCGCTTCACCGCATCGGACGGCTACGGTGATATGGTAGGGGACGCGGATCGCTGACGTGGACGTGCGGGCTATTTAGCGTTTTAGAGCAAAGCAGGGAATGCCCCGCGTTCCACGTCACCAATGCTCGTCACCCGCGCCCTTCACTATTACCGTCCGATGCGGTGAGGCGCGAATTCTGATTTTTCTCTCAGATTCGACGCCTCAAAGGGAGCCACGTCATCGATCCTCGTCCTTCACTGTCATTGGGAAAAGCTGTTTCTTCATCATTTTCAACGAGAGCGCTGAATGGTCTGTGGAGAAATTCCAGTGTCTCCTCCCTATAAATACCATTCCTTCACCCTAATTCCAAACCACACCACCACTTTTATACTTCCTCCTAAGCTAAATTTCGCGTTTGGTCACTCGAATTAAACAAATCTTTCACTTTTGCCACCCAAATTACTTTTCTTTCTTATTCGCTACTCACTTTACGAATCGTTTCACCATTTGTCACCGACGTTCAACTCTGTTATATCTATTCTACGTGGCAATCAACTATAAAGTTTGACCGTTAACTAGATGATGTGGAAATTAAAAAAATTAAAAAAATTGTTTGTGCATCTCATCATTTTACTTACTTTGTGTATATGATTTATCAAATTACTTATTTAATAAAATTAATTCAATTACAAAAATAAATAATATGATTGATTTATTATATTCCATGGCAATCATTGTAGCTTCCATCTTTGTTTCCCTTGCTCTGTTTCCATCTGTCCTGTTTCTTCTCTGCATCAAGACAATGAACAGAATGGACCCAGATGCAGAATCTTACACAAGTCCTTTTCCCCAAGTGTCTTACCATAGCCTGCAGAAGGCGGCAGAAGAATTCTCTCCAAGGAATTTGGTTGGAACGGGGAACTTAGGTTGTGTCTAGAAAGGCATCAATCCGAAAGATGGGAAAATCATCGCCGTGAAAGTTCTGAACCTTCTTCACCCGACGGCTTCTAAGAGCTTGAGAGCCGAATGCGAGGTTTTGAGAACCGTCAAGCACCACAACCTCCTCAAGCTAGTGACTTCGAGCTCGAGCATCGACACGAAAAGGAACGAATTCGAGGCCTTTGGTTTATGAATTCATGCCCAACGGGAGCCTAGACGAATGGCTTCATCAAGACCCTGCATCTGAAATCGAAGAAGACTCGGAGTTCGCGTCCCCTCCGATGAAGAAGTGGTTGAGTTTGCTTGGACAAGTATGGCTAATAGGAGGAGCAAGTTCAAGCTCATTGTGAAAGTGAACCCCATTTTTCCCGGCGAGTCGGTATGATTGTAGGAGTCCACCTAATCATTCACCAACGTCGACATTGGTCGTTCGTGTCGATGAATATGATAAATCAATCATATTATTTATTTTTGTAATTTAATTAATTGTTATCAAATAAGTAATATGATAAATCATATACACAAAGTAAGTGAAATGATGAAGTGGACAAATAAATTATTTTTTTTAAATTTCCACGTCATCTAGTTAACGGTCAAACTTTATAGTTGACTGCCATGTAGGACAAATCTAACGGAGTGTAACGGCCAGTGACTAACGGTGAAATGATTCGTAAAGTTAGTAGCGAATAAGAAAGAAAAGTAATTTGGGTGGCAAAAGTGAAAGATTTGTTTAATTCGAGTGGCCAAACATGTAATTTAGCACTTCTTTCTCCCTCCATTACTTAACTCTAGACTCGTTCTAAGTATGCTCTGTGGTTGCGGCTAAGTCCGATCTTCCACATCAAAAAGAATTAGTAGAGGTTTTTTTTTAGTTTTCAATCCTTCGCTCTAAAGTTCCGTCGATACTCTCTCCAGCTTTTCGATAAAAAATGGACGAAGAGGCTCTGAGAGTACATAATTTTTTTTTCTTTTGTGATATTTTATAAATGGGTTTGAAATAATATAATTTCATTTCACATTTGTTTATAGATGGGTGCTGAGATATACGACCCTCGATTGTATATCGATCTTGGCCCAAAGGATCGAAGATATTTAAACGAGCAAGAACAACATCGCTCCCGTGCAATTTGGGACAATAATCCGGTAGACACTCCGTACCGTATAAATTTGTAAATTATTTCATTAGTTTAAAATTTTTTTTTTTTTTATTAACAACATTGTATTTTTTTGTTTTGTAGGAATCACTTATTCCCATCAGTCATCGAGGGACAACACGATTGCCTTTTTGGCATCCTCAACCGGAGCCCTATCTAGAGAGGACAAGGTTGCTATGCTGCGGCACTTCATGAGGCTTGATATCGAACTGTGTTCTCAATGTCAGCCCACTCGAGCCCCCAAGTAGGTCATTGATCACCGTCGGGCTGAACGAATGGGACAATCTTAGCATGTTGCGGGTATTCTTACCACCCAACACCTCCTGCAGAACTACCTCCTCCATAGTTGCTTGCACCTCCACCTCAGTCGTACCCTCCTGCAGAACTACCTCCTCCGTAGTTTCTTGAACTACCACCCCAACCGTACCCTCTTGCAAAACCATCATCACAAGAATACTGGTGAGAATGAGTTTCACCGACCAGCTCGGTCTCGACATACACCTCTGCACGCCGTACCCCGTTGTAAGATAGGAACTGTATCATCATGTTCACCACGTCATCATCATTTATGACAACTTCTTCGTACATAACTCTGCTAGCAACTATCCGCGATTGCACGGCCAGACTGCACAGCCGTGCAACCGCTTCGTTGCCCGTGTAACCCAAAACGCAAAGTTTCAATTAATTCCGCGAGGGGAATGCACGGCCATTGCATGGACCATGAAATCCGAGCGCTTGGCCGTGAAGCCTCTCGCATAATTCATCACGGCCAGAAAATGCGTCTTGCACGGTCGTGCGAAAACAGGGTCAGGCTGTGCAACTTCTCGGTAAATCCAACACGGCCAAAAAGGCCCCCATGCATGGCCATGCGCTTTCCCGTACTGGTCGTGCAACTTGTCTGCTCTCCCTCGCTCGTCCCGATTTTTCCCAATCAACCCCAAACTCGTGCTCAAATCTTCATTCACGCATTAGGACCTGAAATGTCATAAACAAGAACAACCTAGCATAAAATCGGCTTAATACCCGAGATTCGAGTCTCAAAAAGTTTAAGAATGGCAGACAAAAACATTTGTAAATATCGAGTCATCATCTATTTCAATGTCGTTAAAGTTATGGACGGAATGGCTATTTTAGTGTATTTTTCAAAAAGCGGCTATTATTGTCAAAATGCGAATAGTTATGGCTATGGAAGTGTATTAAGCCTATCAAGTATACATGGATCAAATTCTAATCTATCAAAGATAGCGAAGGTAACTCAACAAAATAAATAGTAGAAATTTAATTGAGTGGCCACCTAAATCAAAACCTAATTCATTTTTCACAACTCTCCCTTCACTCTTATCACTTTTCCTCACCCGTTAACAAGATTATGTTGGTTATTTTTCACTTAGTAGATGTATCAAAGTAAGAGAATACTCATTTGGATTACATTGTACTCTATCTTATGGATTAACGAATGTGTAACACCGCGACCTTTGGGTTTCGGTTCGACCATAATACATGAACGGTTGGTTTAACGAGTATGTACGAAGAGTTGCAATCGGGGGATTAGTAATAATAATAATAATAATAATAATAACTATTATTATTATTATTAGTATTTAAAAAAAAGGGTCAAAGAGGGTCGAGCCTCATTAACTCAAATTCCCCACGATCCCACCTCTCTCTCGGTTTCCCTATCCCTACACTAAAGAAAACCTAAAACTAATCCCGGTGGTAAGCGGTCGAGAGGGAGAGACAACGACGGGATGCGTTGGAGATTGGAAGAGCCAGCTAGATTGGTCGATAAAAAAAAATGAGCGTGGCTTCTATACTCAATCGCGCGTTGGGCAATGTTGCCCCGAAGCTCCCATTCGAAGAACCCAACTCCGTGCGATTGAGGCCTATGGCAAGTTCGGCTGCTTGAGCCATGTCATCCAGTTGTTCGAGGACGGGCCTGAAAGAGATGGTGGCTCTTGGAATGCAGTCATTAACCCCTGCCGGCAGTGCCAAGAGTCCCGGCCAAGCCTTGAATTTCTTCAAGCATATGAGAATTCTCGGTTGTGCACCGAATGAGATCACGTCCGCCGGTGTTCTAGGGTCGTGTGGCGATTGTTGGCCCTTGTTTTTGTCAAACAAACCCATGGACTAGGGGTGAGATATGGGTTTTCTGAGAACGAGATTTTGGAGACTTCGCTTGTCGATGTTTATGGCAAGTGTAAGGCTATGTGAGCAGCAAGGAGGATGTTTGATGAGATTGAGTTTCCTAATGATGTGACCTGTAATGTTCTTGTTAGGCGGTATCTTGAGGTTGGGGGTCGAAAGGAGGCGGTATACATGCAATTCAGGAGGGCATACAGATACATGGAGTTGCAATTGGGAGAGCCTTTTTCGATGATGAGGGGGAACATATTGCATTAGCATGAAGTTGGCATGGGATGAGGTGCAATTGATGAAATTAATGATACAGATGTGATGGGCGTATATAATGCGAAGGCACTTGGGTGATGCTTGCTGCGATTAAAGGATCGCACAAGAAAGTATCGGACCAGCCTTTGTTATGTACGTCGCATGCATGTGCTTGCACGATCAGACGAAGCTCGCATGGACAGATCATGCAAGGTTAGATCATCTAAGACGTCGGCGAGTAATAAGGTGAGTGTAAAGGAGGTAAATTCTACGCCTTACGGGTTTTCAAGTATTTGCTTTGAGTATTTTTAAGTTTTGATATACGTGATGTGCTTGCAGTATTTGATTCATGTTTGATATGGCATGATTATGTTAGATGCTATGTGCGATGGTTGAGCTATGATTTGAAGTGAATTGTGGATGAGTTTATTTCTTACTTGAAGTTTGATGTCTATGAGTTATTGTTAAAGTTTAAGAAACGAGTTATTTTACAGAGGTAACTCACCTCAAGAAGGTGAAGTTGTTTTAAGTGTGTTTAGTCGCTAGCGCCAGTCCGTTGCCATCTGAGATTTTCAGAAGAATAGAGTAGCAGTTATGCTCTTGAGATCTTTGAGATAGAGCAGCAGTTATGCTCTTGAGACTTTTAAGATGAGAAGCAGTTATGCTCTTGAGAATCGTGGTGAAGAGCCACCACGATAAGTTTAAGATGTTAGGGGAATGAATCGTTACGACTTCCCTAACTAAGTTTAAGTTTAAGGAAAGCCTAGATGGCTTCTCATACGTATGAGTTGGGCAACCGGACTAGCTAGTGAGGGATCCCCGTGTCAGTCAAGTATTTAAGTAAAGATTTGAGCTTTAAGAGAGGAGAGTAACTTCAACTCCCTCAAAGTTTAAGAGTTAAGATTTTCAAGATTGGAAGTACAAACAACATCCACTAGTCAACGTTAAGTGTTTTAAGTAAAGTACTAAGCAGTAAGAATCTAAAACGTAAGGGCGTAGACTTATCCCATCTCACTCACCAGGCCTTAGTAAGGGAATGAGCGAGAACCAGATCAGTAGCAGCTAGCTAGAGGAGCAGTTAGAGAGCAGCGAGTTCGAGAGGAAAAGTTCGAGAGCAACCAGCTAGAGGAGGGCAGTGCAAGCGTCAGAGAGGATGCTTAGTCAAGGTTTCAGTAGCAATAGCATTAGAGATTATTAGTTATTTACATTTATGATTATGGGTATAGACTAGAGATCAGATTGAGATTTTAAAGTTTGAGTTTAATTTTCCCACGTGTTAGGGCTTTGCTCTGAGTTACAAGTGTGTGTTTTCAGTATTTTATTTATGAAAATTTTTCCCGCTGCAATTTAAGCTTTGGTTATGTTATTTATCAAGGGCATTTTAATAAAAGTAGTACCCGGCCAGGTTAGGGTGTTGATTTTGGTATCAGAGCCGGTTTTCCTCTGTTTCTTGGTTCCCAAGAAATACTGGAATGTCGGTCATAGTTTTTAAAGGAAAGGAAAAGGAGTCAAGTGTCTTCTTTCAAGAGTCTATAGAATCTCCAGTCTACTCTGATCGTATTAAGGTAAATAACTAAAGGTCTAATAGAAGAGGTTCCAATCGTAAGGGAATACCTATAGGATTTTGACGGAGTTGAAGGAGTAGTACGAGGATTCTACTACTAGGCAGCAAGGAAAGGATCTAATAAGCAAAAACAAACAAACGGGAGAACTATGAATCTTCGAAGAAAGATCTACAATCACTAGATGGCAGTAGCTATAATGATTAGAGGATTTCAGGGTTCTTGACCCTAAGCAGTGGTGAGGAGGCAACAAGTAAAGAAAAGAAGAGGTACCACAAGAAGTCCCTCGACTAGCTTTAGTTGTCGACGGCTTGACGCTATTACCACACAGTGACAAGGAGTAGAGGAATGTTTAGGCTTTAAAAAAATGCTGGGGTAGTATAAAGGAAGCGAAGGAGGGAATAAGTAGGTTATAAGGAGTATGAAAGGACGTCAATAGTTAAGGAGGAGAGGAGGCATGGTCGTTTACATATGACGACAAAGGAACCCTTATAGATAAAGTACGTCACTAGAGAAGACGGTACATCAACCTGGTGAGTTAGGCTGGTAGCAAGCCTTTAAAAGGAAGAAGACAAGCGTCAAGCTGATCGAGGTAGAGAACGAGCTTGGATCAAGAATAACAATGTGCTAGTGAACAAGGTCGAGCTAGAAAGAGGATGTATTGGGATATAAGAGACCCTACAAACTACCCAGATCACAAAAGGCCAGGAGGTCGTTGAGACCATTGAAAGGGGAATGCAAGAGTTCACGATGATCAGGTATGGGATTGTCCTATCCTAAGTGGAGGGAACACCTAGCCACCTAGGGTACATGAGGGGTGACAGAAGGAGGAACCTCTGTAATAAGTTGGAACTAGAGGGCTAAGAGCTGAGTCTGGAACTAGCTATAGAGTAAGTCATTAAGCCAATCGAGTATAGACAAGTAAGTGGATTATTCAATAAATGTTCTAGTGAATGGCAGAGAATTCGAGGAAACACATGGAATTTCCGATGAAGGATTGAGAGTATTTGTAGGTGACTCGTGTTCAAGAAAATGCATAGTGGAGTACGACGAGGAAAAGCATTACGAAGAAGGAGGAAATCATTAAGTTACCTTATCCAAGGTGCCCCACTCTGAGCGAGTACGGCATAGTAAGATGTCATCCATAAAAGAAGGCCAGTTAAGGATAAATTAGTGATATTTAGTTAAGCCACTAAGAGCCATGACTAAGAGATTACGGCTATGTACAAGCATCGGTCGAGACTAAACACGTGGATGAGGTATGTTCTAGCCTACCAAGGGCAAGCCACTATTGGAAGCTTTGACCCAAAACAACAACGAGAAGATACTCAACAGAGTTTGGTGACCGAAAATAGTACAAAGCACCAACAGAAGGGTAGTAAAAGCAAAGAAGCAAGGACAACACCATATGACGCTATAGGAAATAAAATAAAAAGGTGGTTGTCGACCGGACAATGAATGCGTGAAGGAAGATAGTTGGGACGTGGTTAAGCCCCATCGTGAGTAGAAGTCGTGGGTGTTTCATCTGTCAAGTCTACCTATAGAAAGTTTCTAGTGGAAATGTTGGCTCTGAGGTAAGGTGAGGAGCTACTAAACTGCGTAGATCAAAGCTAGTACCAAGCATCGATGAAAGGGTTGTGGAAGTAGGGAGGAAACCACAAGGATATAATGAAAGTTATGGTGAAAAGGGTGGTAGTTGATAAAACAACAAATTCAGGGAGAAAGATAGTTAGGAAGAGCCGGCGAAAGAATACGAAGGTCAACAAGGAGGCGTTAAGGTGATTGCCAGTGGAGAATAAGTTGGACCATAGAAAGCCCATCAAGAACTGAAAAGCTCAATCGTCAACTTTAAAGTAGAAGTGTGGTGGTCCAAAACGGTCGAAGGGAAAACCTTATCGGTCAAGGTACAGAAGTGAGAAGAGAATGTGGGCACCAAGATGACTACATCAAGGACGAGGGACATATAGAACTAGCGAGAAACATCGGTAAGAGGAGTCACGAGTAAAGAAGTAAGAAGGATATGAGTTAGCGAACTTGCTAGAATACCCTAAGGTGAAACAAAGATCGCCTATGATGGTGAAAGGTGTCGATCTCTCGGGTGTAAATTTCTTGGACGGGGAAACCGTACGATGAATTTCAGCTAGGGTACAAGAGTGGCAGAAGGGATAGTACGAGAACACAACATTCAAGCAACGATAAGGAAGTGCTAAGTTAAGCGCCATGAGTTAACAAGTAAGTCAGAGAGAAAGCCATGATTCTTGAAAGGAGTCATAAAGTTGATCGCAAGCTAGAGAAAGATGCAAAGGATGTCTTTAATGCATACAGGAAGTAAAAAAACAGTAGTATGCGGCTTCAGAGTTAGGCAAGAAGTAACAAGGAGATGACCACTCAGTTTATGGTTAAAGGATAAGACGTGGCATCAAGGAGGAAAGTAAGGGATGCAAAGTTAGAAGATACAAGGACCTAGGTGACCTATGAGGTCAACCCTAGACGGGAGTTACAGTAAAAGGGTTTTACCATCTGACTAAATGGAAGATAAGCCGCCAACAGTGACCCTGTGGTTGGAGAGGGGCATTAACTTCTCATGTATAGGTGCAGCCTAGGTGGTGTGAGGCGTTAAGAAGCCAAAACAACATTGAAGTTGCAGGGAGTGGAGAGAAGGATTTATAGTTCAATATCATACGAGTTAAAGGGGTACAATTCCTTGTAAAGAGAAGTATTACAAGCGACGCTTGGGGTCTTCACAAACTACAAATTTCGAGGGCGAAATTCTCGTAAGTGGGGAGGAAATGTGATACCTAAATTTGGATCTAGATTAAACAACCAACTACTGAATGAGTTGGACCATGAATCATATCGAATCGAAATTTTGTTTAGCATGCGACCGGGCCAAGTTGCTTAGAATTAAAAGGGCAGTGAGTCACTCAAGTTACACAAGTACTGCAAGCTAAGAGAGAGTACTTGTTAGTGAAAAATAATTTTTGGGGGAAGGGAGTACAAGGCCGGTGTTAAAGGAGAGATGAGTTCCGAACAAATTTCGGGGACGAAATTTTTTTATACGGGTGGAGGAAATGTAACACCCCGACTTTTGGGTTTCGGTTCGACCATAATACATATACGGTTGGTTTAACGACTATGTACGAAGAGTTGCAATCGGGGGATTAGGAATAATAATAATAATAATAATAATAATAATAATAACTATTATTATTATTATTAGTATTAGTATTTAAAAAAGAAGGGCCAAAGAGGGTCGAGAAACATTAACCCAAATTCCCCACGATCCCACCTCTCTCTCGGTTTCCCTATCCCTACACTAAAGAAAACCTAAAACTAATCCCGGTGGTAAGCGGTCGAGAGGGAGAGACAGCGACGGGATGCGGTGGAGATTGGAAGAGCCAGCTAGATTGGTCGATAAAAAAAAATGAGCGTGGCATCTATACTCAATCGTGCGTTGGGCAATGCTGCCCCGAAGCTCCCATTCGAAGAACCCACCTCCGTGCGATTGAGGCCTATGGCAAGTTCGGCTGCTTGAGCCATGTCATCCAGTTGTTCGAGGAAAGGCCTGAAAGAGATGGTGGCTCTTGGAATGCAGTCATTAACGCCTGCCGGCAGTGCCAAGAGTCCCGGCCAAGCCTTGAATTTCTTCAAGCATATGAGAATTCTCGGTTGTGCACCGAATGAGATCACGTTCGCCGGTGTTCTAGGGTCGTGTGGCGATTGCTTGGCCCTTGTTTTTGTCAAACAAACCCATGGACTTGTGGTGAGATATGGGTTTTCTGGGAACGTGATTTTGGAGACTTCGCTTGTCGATGATTATGGCAAGTGTAAGGCTATGCGAGCAGCAAGGAGGATTTTTGATGAGATTGAGTTTCCTAATGATGTGACCTGTAATGTCCTTGTTAGGCGGTATCTTGGAGCACTTCTACTATGCTATATAATATTGGTGCTTTAATGTACAACTTAAAGTTGTACCATAACATTAAATGTATAAGTTTAGGTTGTACCATAAAGCAATTTGTATTATTATGTTATGGTACAACTTTACAACTTGAAGTTGTACCATTACATAAAGGTACAAGTTCAAGTTGTACTATAAAAGAATTTGTACAAAAATTATAGGTACAATCTGAAGTTGTACCATAACGTAAATGTACAATTTTAAGTTGTACCATAAAAGCAAAATCCTATAGCACCAATACTATATAGCATTGTAAAATTTCTCGGTATCTTGAGGTTGGGGCTCGAAAGGAGGCGGTATACATGCAATTCAGGAGGGAATACAGATACATGGAGTTGCAATTAGGAGAGCCTTTTTCGATGATGAGGTGGAATATATTGCATTAGTATGAAGTTGGCATGGGATGGGGTGCAATTGATGAAATTAATGATACAGATGTGATGGGCGTATATAATGCGAAGGCACTTGGGTGATGCTTGCTGCGATTAAAGGATCGCACAGGGGAAGTATCGGACCAGCCTTTGTTATGTACGTCGCATGCATGTGCTTGCACGATCAGACAAAGCTCGCATGGACCGATCATGCAAAGTTAGATCATCTAAGACGTCGGCGAGTAATAAGGTGAGTGTAAAGGGGGTAAATTCTACGCCTTACGGGTTTTCAAGTATTTGCTTTGAATATTTTTAAGTTTTGATTTACCTGATGTGCGTGCAGTATTTGATTCATGTTTGATATGACATGATTGTGTTTGATGCTATGATTTGAAGTGAATTGTGGATGAGTTTATTTCTTACTTGAAGCTTGATGCCTATGAGTAATTTTTAAAGTTTAAGAAACGAGTTCTTTTACAGAGGTAACTCACCTCAAGAAGGTGAAGTTGTTTTAAGTGCTTTTAGTCGCTAGCGCCAGTCCGTTGCCATTTGAGATTTTCAGATAGAGTAGCAGTTATGCTCTTGAGATCTTTGAGACAGAGCAGCAGTTATGCTCTTGAGACTTTTAAGATGAGCAGCAGTTATGCTCTTGAGAATCGTGGTGAAGAGCCACCACGATAAGTTTAAGATGTTAGGGGGATGAATCGTTACGACTTGCCTAACTAAGTTTAAGTTTAAGGAAAGCCTAGATGGCTTCTCATACGTATGAGTTGGGCAAGCGGACTAGCTAGTGAGGGATCCCCGTCTCAGTCAAGTATTTAATTAAAGATTGGAGCTTTAAGAGAGGAGAGTAACTTCAACTCCCTCAAAGTTTAAGAGTTAAGATTTTTAAGATTGGAAGTACAAACAACTTCCACTAGTCAAAGTTAAGTGTTTTAAGTAAAGTACTAAGCAGTAAGAATCTAAAACGTAAGGGCGTAGACTGACCCCATCTCACTCACCAGGCCTTAGTAAGGGAATGAGCGAGAACCAGATCGGTAGCAGCTAGCTAGAGGAGCAGTTAGAGAGCAGCGAGTTCGAGAGGAAAAGTTCGAGAGCAACCAGCTAGAGGAGGGCAGTGCAAGCGTCACAGAGGATGCTTAGTCAAGGTTTCAGTAGCAACAGCATTAGAGATTATTAGTTATTTACATTTATGATTATGGGTATAGACTGGAGATCAGATTGAGATTTTAAAGTTTGAGTTTAATTTTCCCACGTGTGAGGGCTTTGCTCTGAGTTACAAGTGTGTGTTTTCAGTATTTTATTTATGAAAATTTTTCCCGCTGCAATTTAAGTTTTGGTTATGTTATTTATCAAGGGCATTTTAGTAAAAGTAGTACCCGGCCGGGTTAGGGTGTTTCAGAATGTTTTAGGATAAGATGTTTTGAACTGTAATACGAATGATTGTCTCTTTTGTCGACTTCATGATATAGTTTGTGTGCTTAGTGTTATAAACTTATAATTAAAAATTTACAGGTAAAATTTTAGGCATTATAATGTTTGATGTACGGGACGAATATTACCCATAGGTACCTGAAATCCACAGGTATGGGCCGGGTATGGGTTTTAGATATTTAAAATCGGGAATCAATATGGTTTAGACAAACTCGCCAATTGTCATCTCTAATTATGAGAAAGGGTCTCTCTCCAAGATTTATTGTCCCGCCATACTGAATAATTTTGTGAAATCAATAATAATAATATTAGTTAGCTAATCCCGTGGATGAACATGTGTTGTCCGGCCCTGACATCTATCTATCTATCTATATCTATACTAAATATTATGGCTATTCAAAAATAACTTCTTGCCACATAAGCACTTGGTGAATGCACAAGTTTCCAAGGTGGACAATTTTTTTTTTCAAACAAAAAACTATTTATTGATCTATTTATGAAGTTGTCTCTCTCTTCTTTTAATAATTCTACTCAATTTTACTAAAATTAAAATAAGTTAATTTTTTAGGAAACATTTAAACAAAAAACACACACTTAAGTAATAAAAGAAAATTCGATTAAACAAACTATAAAGATGGAAACAGAGAGTGACATATATTGTATTTGTTTAACCCAAGCTGATTAAATCTGATTAAGTAAATTTTCTACTCATTTTTACTAAAACTTAATAATAAGTTACATTTTGATGAAGAAAAAAAAACAAGCACACACATAAATATTAATATTTTTCAATACAAGATATAAACGATGATCTATGAGAAAATAAACGTTTGACAATTAATCGACTTTGAGAAATGAACGATATGACTATATGTTTTTTGCTATCAAACACTCACTTCTTTCTTATGTATATACCTATCAAATAAAACAACTATAAATTATATAGTAAAATGTCTGAATACAAACTTTACAGAGCAATAATTGTTATTTTTTTAAAAACTTCTTATTCATTTCTATTAAATAAAAACATATTAATTATTAATGAAAACTTTTAATTAGTCTCTATCCCTTTCCCCATTTTGATTGTCTCTCTAGAAATAAAATCAAACATTGAAAATAAGAAATCAAGAAATTATGTCAACCACCATAAAAATAAACACAGCCCTCTTATTAGTTGCTATGTTTTTTGAGATTTCTAATATTTGTATTCTCATAATTTATAGAGAAGGAAATGGTAATGCATTTTTTCTTTGTATGAGAATAAGAGGCAGAAATTACACGAGACAACGATAAGATGACAAAATTTTGAGCAGTTGTAACATATTTTTGTCTGTTGACGAAAAAAGTTAATATGATCATTGTGAAGATGAGGTGAACCAAGCCGAGGGTTGTCGACTGCTCCCTCTTCCTCCTTGAATCTGAAGTTGGCAACTGGTCTCACTTTCTCAGCGATATGTTATTGTTTGCGATTGACTGGTCGAGTTATAATCTTTTTCCCATTCTTTTCTTAATTTCTTCCAAATTACGACTGCTGGATGGTAAATTTTCCCACTCTCGATGAGTGAATATATTTCTTCTTTGTTTTTTACTGAGAAGGGTCGCCATATACTTTCATGTGTATAAAATATAATTAGAAGGGTTAATTGGTTGGACTTAGGGCATACCTCCTTTGGTTGAATAATTGTTCGTTTTTCTTAAATGCCTATTGCCACCCGATTTCTTGAATGTTGAAATGGAAAGTAGAGTTGTGATGATTGTTTATTATATTTTATGTTCATGATTGACATGCTACTACTAGCTAGCTAGCTATACAATGATGATCTGGTTAGTAATTAGTAGGTAGCAAAGGGGTTATAAGTAGAAGGGAACATAATTGGGGTTTTATAAAGGTCGCGAAGCAGAAAGAAAATGATAATGGTGGTTTCTCGGTTGTCTATTTCTATGATTTTTTAATTTCTACATGTTTGCGGTGATATTTGTTTGTTTCATTAAGGTGAATTTTTCTTCACTGAATCCCTAATTAAAGATTGATTTTGACATGATTGTTTTCTTACAGACTACTATTTGGATTGGTGCATATATTCAGTTCACAAATGAGGAATCTGAATGATAAAATGAGTTGATTGTATTGAAGACTGCTCCTTTCATTATTTGTCTATGTTGTTATTAGGTAATAAAGCACAATTCTTTTCTGCAAAAGATATGTAGCTCTCTACAAAATATAAATTGTGTTTAATTATATGCAGTTTAATTTGCTGAAAATATTGCTTTAATAAGTTAGTGACATCTGATAGTTTTGTTTGTGGTTGGTTTTGCTAGAACATTTCAAGGTAATTAAACAAGTACGTGGAAGATTGATGGACGTGGATGCTAATAAGTTTCCTCATTATTCCAAAATTGTATGTGTAAGTGATAATACACGATATTCATGGGATTTAGATCGGAATATTCTCTATTATCATATACCGACATATGAGAAGGGAGAGAAAATAAAAAGCTCTTCGCTTATTTTTTTATTAATTGAAGCACATTTTCTTATTCTAACTTCTTCTTTTGTGGCCGTAAGTTTTTTAACTTCTTTATCACAATTCTGTGCTAAAGAATGAATAATCTCTTATGTTTATAATCTTAAAGGGCGAGTTCGATAAAAAAATTTCTAAATCAATAAAGAACCGTCTATAAAGAGCTCAGTTAATAAAATTAAAATGTTCATAAATAAACAAAAGGTATAAAAGTATGAAATAATACCTGAAATAAGGTAAGTAGGATTTACAATTCCATGTATATTACCTTAGCAAACATAAATAATAATAACAATTAGAATACTATAACGAATTATATAACAACCAATCAAAATACACCGCTCAACGGGCGGGTAAAAAACTAGTTACAATTAACAAGGAAAACGAGTTGACGTTAAAGAGAAAAGAGGCTAATTAACCATATTTAGTGTGGAGGACCTGACGAGCAAAAGTTTTTGGCAGGTAGTTCCATTCTTTCACTAATCAGTACAAAGCTCAATAAATGCTAGCAACTAATGGCCCGTTTACTTGTCATTCCATTTCTGTTAGCTGCCACAACAGAAAACAAAATTAAAATGAAAACGAAACTTATCATTTCCTGGAAAACAAAACCTGAAAAAACCTTGTTTAGCTGAGAAATTTGGTGAGTTCTGAAACTGAGTTCTAAAAAGAAAAAACATGTTTAGTTGCTTCATTATGTTTTCTGATTCTTGATTATCATACAACCCTAGCCATGATTATAATTTTTAATTCGAATTAAATAGTTTTTAAACTACAAATAAACACAATACAAGTACAACATCTTATATTAATTAAGTACTAGTACAACATAAAAATTCAAATAAGTCCAGCTTGAAAGTCATCCCACAATTTGTTTGCTATTCCATCTCGTCGTGCATCCATCGCTCGAGTTTGGGTTGAACTATGATTATATGCTTCTCGTTCTTGTCCTCCTTGCACTCCATTGGCATTCTCCCCCGTGCAATAATTTTGAGCACCTTCAAACAGAGTGTCATCACCAGAGTGGATCCTAATATATTGAGAAAACAAAACTGATATATATTTTGCTAACCGTTGAAGTTGGAAAGCACCTAAAACAAACAAACATATATGTTGTCGTGTACTTGGATGATTGGCCTGGAGCTCGCAATTTCGTTTTATAGGAAACTGATAGTTGAACTCCTTGGCTGAGTATTGGGTTACACAACAACAAGAACAAATTACAGAAGAATCCAAAAACCTAGGATCCTAGACTTACCGGATGTGACAATGTCGGCCATAACGCAGCGGAGATGTGGCGGCTGCTAGGAAAAAGACGTAGCGGCGGCAGATTGGGATTGAGGGCAGGCGAGGATTTCGTGGCAGAGACAGAGGATTAGAGGGGAAGAAGCGGCTAATGGATAAAGACGAGGACAAAGCGGCTGTTGGAGCAGAAAATTTTGAGAGAGCAGAGGAAGTTCAAAGTTGGGTGTAGAGAGAAAGGAAGTTCGAGGGATCGAGATTGAAGAGCAGAAAGCCGCTTCTGCAGAATGAGACAGACGAAGCGAGAAGAAGGTTTTGAGTATAGAGAAAAGGGTGGGAAAAATAATGTTGGAGGGAAGGTTCGAACAGCCAACTTCATTAATGTACAGTGATCATCTTGGTTCGCCTTTAATACGTCAGCCTCGGGATCACCGTCGCCGCCGGCCGGCTACCTTCTTCTCGGAACTTAGCCAGCAAGGCCAACATCTCCCGACGCCCCCATTCACCGCCGCGGCCGTCCCCTTCCCTTTCTCTGGCGCCGGCAGAGCCATCCGGGTTCGGCAAAGAGGGCAAGAAGGCCATGCCAAACCCGCCAGCGACGTCAGCCATCTGTCTAGGCAGTCGCGGTGAAACATGTGGTTGCAGTCCAACTTCCTGACGCTTTCCCCTTTGCGGAAGTCGGAGAGGGACACCGCGCATTCCGCCGCTGATTTCAGGTCCGGGTAGTAGCAGAGGCGGATACATGGGCCTCTAGGGTGTCCCGGGACACCCTAAAATTTGGGGAAACGATTACCAACCTCCGATAGTAATTTCGTATGGGTATACAAAAAATAATTGGTAATCCGGGACACCCTAACATTTGAAAAAATGATTATCCTACCCTCGATAATAGTTTGCTTATGATTAACAAAATATAAGTGGTAGTCCGTCTTATTCCAACCTAGGACACTACTATTATCAAACATATTCTAATTATGTTGCTTCTCATTTGTTATTCTAATTTAAACATCATGTAATAGTAAAACGCTATTTCTTTATCCCCAACTATTTTCAATACCTAATAATTAAACTACGTACACGCTACCCTTAATTTTGAATTGATTTTATGGTTACACAGCAAGTGTTGAAAGAGACTTTTCTACTTTGAGCTACATTAAGAACAAGGTTAGAAATCAAATATGTGATAAGTTCGTGAAGTATTGTCTAGTAGGACATGTAGATTTTTTTTGAACAGTGCAGACACGGAGTATATTTATATTAGTTTTTCAAAATATGAAATTTTAATTTATTATTTAATAAAAAATTTATACAAATTATACAAGTATGATATTTTTAATATACGAATTATTTTATTTATTATATAATTTAATTTAATTTTTGAAGAGGACACCCCTGTGAAAATTTTCTGAATCCGCCACTGGGTAGTAGGGGGCCGCCAGGAACTTGGCTTCGATTGACCTGACCCGATTCTGATCGGATCGGGGCGTGGGCTGGTCCGACCCGGGTAAGGAGCGGAGGAGGACCCGGAATTTGAAGAGGGCGACAGTGTAAAGTTCGGAGAAGATGGCTGGGATCATAAAGATGAGTTAAGTTGGACTGCTAAAATACATCTAATTCAATTGAAAAATGAAAAAAAAATTATGTTTCGCAATAAGAAATACATATAATAATTCGATTTGATTCGGCGCATTTATTTTATTCGTTGCAAGTATCAATTCGATACAATTCGAATCGGCGACAACCATTTTATTATTTATATTCCTATATTTCTTGCAAGTGTTACGACTTACCAGTCATGCCATTGAGATGATAAAGTGTTGGAAGGACATACAACAACGAAGACAATGACCGTTAACGAATGAATTAATTAATTATGATATATGGATCTGCTTGACTTTGACTTCAAATCATGTGATTTGCGAAACATTCAAATCGACGACGTACGTAATAACATATAGATTAACTGTTATCAATTAATTTAACTCTATAAATACTTGGAAATCTATAATTCAGACTTAAGAGATCTATTAACTGCCATATGAAATTAATCTATATTGCAATGAAAATCAAATAAAACCTAGAGAAAATGATAACACGATTTTATTATTTAAGTGATCCTTGAATTAATGCTGTGTCAACAAAGTTGTTGGTTGTCTTATGACAACTTTTATGACTTACTCGACTATCTTAAAAGTTATCAAACATCCAAACTTCAAATGATTTATAGACGGTACCTTTATATCGTTTCAATTTTATCGGATGTTCCTAAGAAAAGGATTAAGAAGTTAACCTCATGCGATGTTTTTTTTTTTTTATGGCTTTCTGGAACTTAGCAAAGTGTCAAGCTAAGAGAGGAATAACTCAAATAAACTTTGCAGCAGGGAGATAACGAAGCAAAGAAGATAAATAATTTTAGTCGTGGGGGTCTACTCCGCTGTCTTTGATGGCAAGACTGAAGATGACGATTTAACCTTAGGAATATTGAATTGAATCAATTATGTAAGGGTCACAGTCTCTCAGAAGAACTGTTCTGGAAGCTTTCTACTCTCGACCCATGACTAGCTAACTAGTGGGTCAAACAAAGATCAAACACATCAATAATACGATACTTATTTTTATTTATGAATATATCCCTTTTCCCAAAGGCACGAAATAAAAAATTAAATTATAAATTTGGGTTGTGAAACGGTGCGGTCTTGTCTAGATTCGACCATATACGGTCTAAATCAGATCATATATATGATTTACGGTCCAGACCGGGAGGGCAAAGTATAGATTAGAGACCAGAACTCATACTATAAGGTCAAGACCACGTCTGTGGGATTTGGTTTCGGTACAGTCAGGTCTAGATAGATCATATTAAACAGAGAATGAACAATTTGTTTAGGTGTCCTCCACACGAAAAATTGAACCAAAATAACCCATATTTTTTCCTTAAAACATAAATGTCAGCATGTTTGAATAATTTCGACACCCTAAATCTCTGTAAATAACAAAGATATACAAAGTTAAAGCATCCCAACTTGCACCATAACGTAATAAACATTAACATAATGTCATATAGAGATACGATCGTCTCTATTCTCTTGTGAAATGTGGTTGTGAATTAAGGAGGGGATGAGATTATCAAAACTAGAGTTAAGACTAGCATATCTCGTTGGGGACCGGGAGTTGAGAGACTGGTAGAGTGAGTTGCTAACACGTATTGGAAAGTCTGTTGCGTCAAAAGATTGATCCGATAAACCACGATCTAGACTAGACCAAGAAATCTAAACATCATATAAACAGACCATCACCAGACTATATATATACCATTCTTAACGGTCTATGGTTCTAACCAACCTGTGCGTTACCTCAAGTCTGCTCCTACAAGTGGGTTGTTCTTCCCACCCAATTCCAATCTTCAATTGAAGGCCTTCAGTGACTCAGACTGGGCTGCATGTGTCGACACCAGACGCTCAGTCACTGGATACTGTGTCTACTTGGGTGATTCTCTAGTCTCGTTGACTCGCTATGACACAACTCCTAACAATGGCCAAGTGTAACCAATGAAAGGGACTGCAGTATAGTGGATCAAGTAATAAATATCAAATCCACGGGTCTCTAGAGTTACTATTACTTAGCTTCGGTTCATTATCTAGCAAACCAGATTAAGATGGAAGAACTAAAACTAATCTAACAAACTACAGTTAAAGCTAATCTAATTACAGGTTGGGAACTCACTTACGTATGATTCCCCCTATAACTAGCCAGATTAATGATTGATAATCTCTAACTCGTTTTACTTTCATTCACAATGCGGAGAATCCTTGACTAAACCTTGAATCTCGACTAAAGGATCAAGTCCCTCTTGAGTCAATTGCCTAGAGGGACGTATCCTTCTCTAGAACAACCGATCAATGCGTTCTGAACTAGATTCCCTCTATCTAATGAGGTTCTCAGTCGATATAAAGCATTGAATCAACCCTCGACTAAAGCAATCGATCCAATACTATCGATCTATGATGCTCTATTGACCTAATCAGGTATTCGCTCTCATAGGATCAAAGCAGAATCAATAATCTCGACTCAAGAGGGCCTTGATCCTTTAGTCGAGATTCAAGGTTTAGTCAAGAATTCTCCGCATTCTGAATGAAAGTAAAACGAGTTAGAGATCATCAATCATTAATCTGGCTAGTGCATTGAATCAACCCTCGACTAAAGCAGAATTGAATCATGGAAACATGCATAGATTGAATATGAACTCAAGATTATCAAGTAAGAGTACTCATACAATCATCCAATCAAACAAACATGGCTAGGGTTCCTCAAAACCTAAGTGAAGCGAAGTTACTCCATAGAGAAGAGAGAGACTGCAGTAAGAATCTTCAAATGATCAGTCTTCAAGTCCGGGCTTGTTCCTCGAGCTTCCAAGGCGAAGAAATCCTCCAATTCCACTCCAAGAATGCCATCAAATCTCCCTCTCTCTCTTTGGTTCGTCCCTAGGGTGTTTGAGATCCAAAACCCAGCTCTACCCCGCAAAAACACACAAAACAGGCTTTTAACAGCCTGCGTTCGCGATCCTCGGTCATGATCCCCGGTCGGGTATTTTAGGTGGCGGCCGGGGATTGTAGAAACGCACCGTCGAGGACAGGGGATTAATCCCCGGTCGAGGTCAAGAATACCCGATCGGGGATTTATGCTCAATGCCCGGGCCCCCATATGCTTCTCAAACGTCCAAAAGAGATTTTCCCCGGTCTGCTCAGATTAATACACGGCCGGGGATTTTTGCTCATGGCCAGGTATTTTGCTCCTCCAGCACACTTCAACTCAAATGTGCTCCTTTCGCCCGAAACTCGTTTCTTCGCCTCGATGCCAATGCCAAGCCCTGAAATATGACATAAACACACAACCTAGCGTGAAATCGGCTCAAAACACAAGAATCAACATCTCAAACGGCTCAAGAATAGGGGTAAAAACATGTGCAATCAATGGTCTATCACTCATGGAAGTGCAAGAAGCAAACAACCATCTCCCGCTCTTCTTGCGAAACAGAGTATCCCGCATTGGCATTCACGGCTTGTGAGGTAAAATGGCTTCTTTATCTTCTGAATGACTTCCAAATTCCACATCCACAGCCTGCGACCATCTACTGCGACAACCAATCAGCGATTTACATCGCTGAGAATCCAACATTCCATGAACGGACGAAGCATATCAAACTTGATTGCCACTTCGTCCGTGAGAAATTGCTCTCTAAAACCATCAAGATTCTTCATGTGTCCTCTGTCTACCAGCTCGCTTATCTATTCATGAAGCCACTTCCTCCAACTCTTTTCAATTTGCTCCTCTCCAAGCTTGGTGTCCTCAACCTATGCCCACCAGCTTGCCGGGGGGGGGGGGGGGGGGGGGGGGGGGGGGGGGGGGGGGGGGAGGTATCAGGGGAAAACGCAAGTTTTTCACCATAGAAGTTTCAATGTCCAATGGTCGACAACATAGTAGAGTCGTCTTCAAAGTGGAAGGAGATGATCCAAAGCGACGTCGTTCCATCATCAATACCTAATCTTTCTGTTTCAACATTTTACCCTTTCAAACCTGTACTTTCTTTTTCCCTACGTTTTATCTTCTTTCTTGAATTGTAAGCAACAGCTGAAAAACTTGTACTGTTTTACCTAGCTATATAAGCTGGAGAGTGAAATGAGAACACTTAAGTGATTAGGGTTTTCTAATATGAAACATTGTTACCAGTAAGGCCAACATCTCCCGACGGCCCCATTCACCGCCACCGCAGTCGTCCGCCGCGGCCGTCCCCGTCCCTTCCTCCGGCGCCAGCAGGGCCATCTGGGTTCCGCAAAGAGGGAAAAACGACCCTGCCAAACCCGTCGGCGACGTCAGCCATCTGTCGAGGCAGTCGCGGTGGCACACGTGGTTGTAGTCCAGCTTCCTGACGCTTTCCCCTTTGCGAAAGTCAGAGAGGCACACCGCGCATTCCGCCGCTGATTTCAGGTCCGGGTAGTAGGGGGCCGCCGGGAACTTGGGGAGCGGATCAGGTCAGTAACTCTATGGTTAGTAACCATGAGTAACCTGTCCACATCAGCATGACATCAGTAGCCTCTCTCATGGAAAGTCTTTTATCTTTTCCCCTTTAATCTTTAATGGATGATTTCTCTCTCATTTTAAGTTGAAATTTAATTTTTTTTGCACAGATAAATCAGATTAAATATGCTCTTCAAAATGATATCCACTTTGATATATTTTTAGTACAAAAAAATTGAATAATTTTTTACCAGTCATTACGATATGGTATGCTCCAATCTAATACCATATGGTAAGAAAGCGTACCATGATGGTATGAACATACCAATACGGTAAGAAGGTTGCATACATGATAGCAAGGTTCAAAAAGGCGCTAGGCGTAAGGCGGGCGTTGAGCCTTTGCCTTGCGCCTAGCTCGCCTAGGCGTTGACTAAGCGTGTCTAGGCGTTGGAAGAAAATAGTTATTCGGAGTGCATGATGAATGAAATAATAATCTACAACACTTTCTCACTTCAGTTAAAGTGATTAATAACTTACTCAACACTTAATGACAGGAATATAGCTTTCGAGTTCATAGAATCATAGCTCAATAGTTTACAAAGTTCTTGAGCTATTGAAAATATTGCAATAGATAATTGATTTCATAGTTGATGTTAATTTTGGTATTTAATATTGACTTTTTAGCTCCATCTAGTAATGTTTAGGAGAGACTTATATGTTGCCGTACTCCATTAACGTGTTCCGGTATCTAATTAGGCGCGAAATCCTTAGGCGAGGCTTTTTGCCATTGCCTTGCGCCTAGGCGTGCCTAAGCGTAAGATTAAGCGTGCCTTTTTGAACCATGCATGATAGTATGAGTATATTAACTGTCATTTACGACTTTCATCATTATTTACTACAAGTTACCAATCACATACCATAGTGGTAAAGTATGGTAATTTTTGATCCAGTAGATAATGATGAACTCGTTACTTCTGAGCAAACGTTTTCAAAAACGACTTAAAAACAAAGAAGTTACCATTTGGTATGTAGTTGGTAAAAAAAAAGTTTCTCGAAATATATTGAAAATTGATCTCATTTTGTAGAGCACACCTAACTCGTTCCATCTGTGCAAAAAAAAATTGAAATCCAAGTTAGAACGAAGAAGATAAGAGCCTATTAAGAAAACTGGGGAAAATAAAATATTTTTAATTGACAACCCTTATATCTGAATTTTCTAGACCCACTTAAATCTAAAGGTCCAGATTTAGTTACTCATAGGTTAGTAACCATTGGTTACTGACCCTATTCTAAGCTGGGAACTTGGCTTCGATTGACTTTACTCGATTCTGGTCAGATCGGGGCGTGGGCTGGTCCGACCCGGGTAAGGAGCGGAGGAGGACCCGGAATTTGAGGAGGAGGAGGCTGGAGAAGAAGAGGGCGACGGTGTAGAGTTCGGAGAAGATGGCTGGGATCATGGTCGCCATTTTGATATGATGAGCTATTTTCGTACAGATCGTATGAGGTGGCTGAATGTGTACCTATATATTTTGCAGGGAGAGAATGAGACAATAAAGATCAGTTAAGTTAGACTGCGAAAATAGTTAAATACATATAATTCAATTGAAAAATGAAAAAATAATAATTATATTTCGCAACAAAAAATACATATAACAATTCGATTTGATTCGGCGCATTTTTTTTATTAGTACAAGTATCAATTAGATACAATTTGAATCGTTGACAACCAATTTATTATTTCTATTCGTATTTCTACAAGTGTTACGACTTACAAGTCATGTCATTGAGATGATAAAGTGTTGGAGAGACATACAACAACGAAGACAATGACGGTTAATGAATGAATGAATTTATTCTGATAAATGGGATATGCTTGATTTTTACTTCAAACCATGTTATTTGCGAAACATTCAAATCAAAGACGTACATAATAACATATAGATTAACCGTTATCAATGATCATACTCTGTAAATACTTGGAAATCTATAATTCAGATTTAGAGATCTATTAACTGCTATATGAAATTAATCTATATTGCAATGAAAAACAAATAAAACCAAGAGAAAATGATAACACGATTTTATTATTTAAGTGATACTTGAATTAATGATGTGTCAACAAAGTTGTTGGTTGTCTTATGACAGCTTTTATGACTTACATTTATTCGACTATCTTAAAAGTTATCAAACTTCCAAACTTTAAATGATTTATAGACTGTACCTCTATATCGTTTCAATTTTATTGGATATTCGTAAGAAAAGAATTATGAAGTTAACCTCATGCGATGTTTTTTTTTTTTTTTTTTGTTATGGCTTTCTGGAACTTAGCAAAGTGTCAAGCTAAGAGAGGAATAACTCAAATAAGCTTTGCAGCAGGGAGATAAGGAAACAAAGAAGATAAATAATTTTGGTCATGTGGGGGTCTACTCTGCTGTCTTTGATGGCAAGACTGAAGATGACGATTTAACCTTAGGAATATTGAATTGAATCAATTATGTAAGGGTCACAGTCTCTCAGAAGAACTGTTCTGGAAGCTTTCTACTCTCGACCCATGACTAGCTAACTAGTAGTGGGTCAAACAAAGATCAAACACGTCAATAATATGATACTTATTTTTATTTATGAATGTATCCCTTTTCCCAAAGGCATGAAACAAAAAATAAATTTTAAATTTGGGCTGGGAAACGGTGCGGTCTGGTATAGATTGGACCATATACAGCCTAAATCAGATCATATATATGATTTAAGGTCCAGAACGGGAGGGCAGAGTATAGATTAGAGACCAAAACGCATTATATGAGGTAAAGACCACGTCCGTGGGATTTGGTTCGGTACAGTCAGGTCGAGATAGATTATATTAATCAGAGAATGAACAATTTGTTTAGTTGTTCACACGAAAAATTGAACCAAAAGAACTCATTATTTTTTTCCTTAAAACATAAATGTCAGAATGTTTGAATAATTTCGACACCCTAAATCTCTGTAAATAACAAAGATATACAAAATTAAAGCAGCCCAACTTGCACCATAACGTAATAAACATTAACATAATGTCACATAGAGATACGATCGTCTCTATTCTCTTGTGAAATGTGGTTGTGAATTAAGGAGGGGATGAGATTCTCAAAACTAGAGCTAAGATTAGCATATCTCGTTGGGGGCCGGGAGTTGAGAGACTGGTAGAGTGAGCTGCTAACACGTATTGGAAAGTTCGTTGGGTCAAAAGTTTGATCTGATAAACCACTCTTAACGGTCTATGGTTCTAACCAACCTGTGCGATCCATTTTGGTCCATGTTTTTTAAAACGATCTTGTCTATTTTACATGGCCTACTATAATTTGCTATAGATTAATACGGGAGGCTAAGTATACCTAGTGGGACAAGTTATGGTGATTGCACCATGGTTACTAAGGGTAAATTGAGTATGTAAATGTAAATTGCATTAATTAATTTTTTAATAAATTACATTTTAGGTACTTACAAAAATTTAATAATTACAATTATCTCTCTTTCTCTCACTTCCATAATCTCCAGCCAGATCTCATTTCTTTATCTTTCTCAATCTTTCTACAAAAGAAAAAACACGAAATCACTATCAATCTATTAGACAACCACTACCACTTTGAAAAACATCAATACCATTGCAATCTATACCATTACACAAAAACTACCAATATAAACAATCTACCATTATAAATCTATACCATTTCACAAAAAAAAAACTAATATAATTGTAGATTTAATCAATGCCAATGCATGCAAATTAATACGATTACATGATAATCAATACCAATGGGACAAAAACAATATCAATGCAACAAAATCAATACCAATGCGACAAAAACAATACCATTGAGGTGAGAGGGTCGGAGATAAAAGGATGACCAGCGCCGCCAATTGCTTTGACGACCTCCGCAGTCCCGTACTCGCGCAGATCGCTTGTCCATCAGCTCCTCCCCGCTATCGGGTAGATATATATATATATATATATAGAGAGAGAGAGAGAGAGAGAGAGAGAGAGAGAGAGAGAGATGGGGTGGGGGATGGGAGAGGGGACGGCGGCGGGGCGGGAGATCAGAGAGGGGGTTAGGAGGAAGCTGGCGTCGGCGCTAGGGGATGGGGGAGGATGAGTTGTAATAGGGTTTGGATATATATAGAGTAATCAGTTGTGGCATTTTTTTCATTTCCAAAATTGCCCTTAATCTAATTGTTACCATTAATTTAAAATTAAGGTGAAGTAGAGATAATGAATGTTGTAGAGTAACCATGCTAATCTATTCAGATACCTACTACGTACCTAACCAAATTCTCGGTTTTTACAATTGTTGTGAATTGATATATCAAAGCCGTCAAAATCGGCATTTTAGGTAAAATTGAAAATGGAGGTAATCTGGGCTCAGCTATTCGGAGTGGGGATCGGTAATTGTCTCCACTACGCATTGGTTGAACGCGATTTTGGGATCCCGCAAGCGGTTTGAGACGACGGTGCGCTTCGTTGGAGAAATGTTTTAGTTGGTCAATTTCTCACAGATGCTCCTCCGATAGTCAAGATCCGATGATGGGCTCGGTGTTTATGGGGTTGGAATGGCCGGGTATTTGATTATGTATTTGGTTGTACTGGTTTTGTTCCAGTTTGAGAGTGTTGAAACCAAGGTTCAAAAAGGCGCTAGGCGTAAGGCGGGCGTTGAGCCTTTGCCTTGCGCTTAGCTCGCCTAGGCGAAGACTAAGTGTACCTAGGTGTTGGGAGAAAAACAGCTATCCGCTCTGCATGATGAATGAAATAATAATTTACAACACCTCCTCACTTCAGTTAAAATGATTAATAACTTACTCAACACTTAATGACAAGAACTTAGCTCACGAATACATAGAATCATAGCTCAATAGCTTACAAAGTTCTTGAGCTATTGAAAATATTGCAATAGAAAATTGATTTCGTAGTTGATGTTAATTTTGGACTTCAATATTAACTTACTAGCTCCATCTAGTAATGTGTAGGAGAGACTTATATGTCGCCTTACTCCATTGACGTGTTCCAGTATCTAATTTGGCGTGAAACCCCTAGGCGAGGCATTTTGCCATTGCCTTGTGCCTAGGCGTGCCTAAGCGTAAGGTTAATAAGCGTGCTTTTTTGCCATTGTCTTGTATCTAGAGGTGCCTAAACGTAAAGTTTATAAGCGTGTCTTTTTGAACTATGGTTGAAACAAATTCGTGTGTTTTCGAGAACGGGTGTCAGGGATTCAATATGTTCAGATGAGTCCTAGCAAACTGCCGATCTGGGTAAGGATTCGGGAACTTTCCTTTGGAGTATTTGATTGTTGAAGGACTCATCCGAGTTGCTAGCTCGCTTGAACTTAGCAAAGTGTCAAGCTGAGAGGGGATAAGCTTCGTAGGGGCATAAAGAGACAACGAAGATTAAATAATTTGGGTAATGTGGGTCTCCTCTTTGTCTTTGATGCTATACTGAAGATTACGATGTAACCTTTGGAATATTGAATTGAATCAATTATTTGTAAAGGCTACAGTCTGACAGAAGGACTGTTCTGGAAGCTTTCCACTCTCGACCCATCACCCATGACTAGCTAACTAGTGGGTCGAATATATAAAAGATCTTTTTTTTAAATAAAAATATATAAAAGATCAACACATCAATAATACGTATCCTTTCCCAATGAATGAAACAAAATTTGCCTACATTGCATGTTTGATCATTGGATATATTAAAAGGTTAATGTTTGGTAAAAAAAAAAAGTCTTAATTAGTTATGGCAACAACTGTAAAAAAAAATGTTGTACGAAAATTAGATAGTTAATATTTATAAAAAATAATTAGAGAACTAATGGGTAAGTATTTTTTTCCTTATGTATGTCGATGTGGGTGGTTCTTTTGCTCGTACAAATTACGTTTCAAACCAACAGAATCAGTCCTAAATCATGATAGCAAAGACTCATAACTTCATGACATAACAACTAAACAAACTAACAAGAAACACAATAAAAGACACATTATTAAACACACAGAATCAGGCCTTTGAAGTATTTGTGGCGACTTTTTATTCTGCTCGCTTCCCAAAGAGGTCGAACATTAGCTATAAAAGGTCAACCCTGTTGTTGAGTCTCACAAAACTGGAACAGCAGATTAGATCGACCTAATCATATATGACGTCGACCGAAAAAGTACAAGTTACGCTGACATGCATGTAAACTGACATGAAAACGTAGCAAAGTAATAATAATAATATTATTATTAGTTAATAGTTAGGCTAGTGCCGTGGATGAACATGTGTTGTCCGCCCGTTACATTACAATTGCAAACAACAAGCAAAACGAGTTGAAGTTAAAAGAGAAAATAGGTTAATTATTAACCATATTTAGCGTGGAGGAGCAAACGTTTTCGGCACGTATTTCCATTATTTCACTGATCGGCAACAAAGCTCAATAATTGCTAGCAACTAAATTTCAGCAAGCGCCAAAAGTCACAAAATGAATAAACGTCCCAAATTATACTAGCTACCAACTGTACATGGATTCCAAAAACATCATTTTCCCTGAAAGATGCCGCCATCGCCGGCCGGCGAATGCTCTCATCTCGGTCGTCGTACGTTGCTGCCTTCTTCGCGGAACTTAGCCAGCAAGGCAAACATCTCCCGACGCCCCCACTCACCGCCACCGCAATCGTCCACCGCCGCGGCCGTCCCCTTCCTTTCCTCCGGCGCCGGCAGAGCGAGTCGGGTTCGGCAAAGCGGGCAAGACGGCCCTGCCAAACCCGCCGGCGACGTCAGCCATCTGTCGAGGCAGTCGCGGTGGAACACGTGTTTGCAGCTCAGCGTCCTGACGCTTTCCCCTCTGCAAAAGTCCGAGAGGCACACCGCGCATTCCGCCGCCGATTTCGGGCCCGAGTAGTAGGGGGCCGCCGGGAACTTGGCTTCGATTGAACTGACTCGATTCTGGTCGGATTGCGCCGTGGGGCGGTCCGACCGGGGTAGGGAGCGGAGGAGGACCCGGAATTTGAGGAGGAGGAGGCTGGAGAAGAAGAGGGCGACGGTGTAGAGTTCGGAGAAGATGGTTGGGATCATGGTCGCCATTTTTAGAATGATGAGCTGTTTGATACTGAACATATGAGGTGGCTGAATGTGTAGTTATATATATAGGGTGGGCATCTGGTTGGGTAAAAAAAAAACCAAATCTAAACTGAATCATAATTGGTTTAATGTTAATTTGGTTTGAAATTTATAGGGAAAAAGACCTATTTCAAAAAATCACGATACTTTCTATTGAATATTAATTTGAATCATGTTCCAAAGGGTGAATTTTGATGTTTGTACTTGTCTTGAAACTCAGAATGGTGAATTTTGATGTTTGTATATGGTGAATTTTTTTTTATGTTTATACTTATCTTGAGATGTGAATATTAATTTGAATCACGTTAGCGTTTTATGGCTTACGTGTTGAAATGTTTGATTTTATTATGAATTATGAATATAATTTCGTATTTATTGTTTGCATCGGGAGTGAAAAATAATCTAAAAGAGAGAAGACACAAACTAAACTCACATATTTGATTTTGTCTGAACTTCCGAACAGATGAATTAATTTGGTTTTCATTCTCAGTGTTATTTGGCACCCTGTATGCTCTTGTTTGATTCGCTTCGAACCGAAACGAACCGAAGTTCACCCCTACTTATATATTTTGTAGAAAGAGAATGAGCCAGCAAAGATTAGTTAACTAGATTGAAAAAGAAGTTTAAAGTTTAGCTAGACTGGTGTAGGGATAGAGAAAACTTGGTTGAAGGATGAGTCACGTAATATGTAAATAACGTTTTAAAATATTATAGAAAGGTATGTGACGTGGTTATTAGCATTGGAGGGACATACAATAACGGAGACAACGAGGTTAATTAATTTAATAATAATTCTGGTGAATGGGGTCTATTTTGATTTTGACTTCAAATGATGTGATCCGTGGAGAAAATCAGATCGACGACGCACATAATAACATATAGAAGAACTTCTATCATAAGTACTCTATATATACTTGGAAAATCTATAATTAAGACATAATCCTATTGACCGTCATATAAACTTTAATAATGAATTAAAATGATAAATCAAATAGAGCCAAAAGAAAATGATCACATGATATTATTACTTAACTACGTGATACCTGATTTAATTGTGTCTCATCATAAACATTGGCTGCCTTAAGATAACTTCTACGACTTAACATACAATTGATTATCTTAAGGGTTATCCGACTTACAAACTTCAATCATATGGGTAACAATTTTTTTTTAAAAAAAACTAATATTTCTCAGAGAGTTTTTATTTGTATGTGTATTATCTGTTAGGGTGCGCCTACGGTGACATGCATGTCACGGTGACTTGCACTTTCCGATCGACCTCAGTTATGATTAGGTCGACCACATATAGGATTAGGTCGACCTAATCTGTTGTAAACAGTTCATGGTGCCTACTTTGGAGATTCATATCATACATTTGGCTAGATGGAAATTGAAGACTAATGGCTTGTTTTGAAGCTGGAGTGTCCCTCTAAATATTGAAGTGATTGAGAGCTCGATAGGAAGTCTAGAAGATCATTTTTGAACCTCGTCAAAAGGCTATGCCAAAACTAGGAAACTGCCTGGAAATGGACAAGTCTGAAAACGTGTTTGTGAAGCCCATTTTGGAGCTCAATTCGAGAATCAGGAATGCGAGTCGAGTCCAGGAGCCTCTACCACATTAAATTAGGTATGTTTTTATACAAATTCAAGGCATTGGATGAAAGATTGGATATCTGTAAGGCTTCAAACAAAAGGGTCGAAGTTGCTACGAAGGCTGTTTTTCTGGCAGACTTCGAGCACAAGCAAGCTGCAAGAAAAACAACCTTCGTAGCAACTCGAGCCTTTTGTTTGAAGCCTTAAAGATATTAAATCTTTCATCCAATGCCTTGCCTTTGTATAAAAACATACGTAATTTAACGTGGTTGAGGCCCCTGGATTTGACTCGCATCCATGCTTCTCAAATTGAGCTCCAAAGTAGGCTTCACAAACACGTTCCCAGACTTGGCCATTTTCAGGTAGTTTCCCAGTTTTGGCATAGCCTTTTGATCCGGTTCAAAAATGGTCTTCTGGACTTCCTATTGAGCTCCCAAGTACTTTAATGTGTAGAGGGACATTTCAGCTTCAAAACAAGCCATTAATCGCCAATTTCCATCTAGCCAATTGTAAGATATGAATCTCCAAAGTAGGCACCATGAAACTGTTTTTACACTGAAACAACAGATTAGGTCGACCTAATCCTATATGAGGTCGACAGAAAAGTGCATATCACGTAGCAAAGTCCTATCTGTTATATAGCTGGCAACCACTTCATGATAAATATATATATACATGCCAATCAAATATATATATACCCATGTATATGGTATATATGTGAACGGCTATTTGTCGCCAGCCAAATTGCTATTTGCTGCCAACCAAAAAAAAAAATCAAAATTTGAATTTTCCCTTCCTTTCCGAGTTTCAGGCCATCTCACTTCGAGCCACACGTCGCTGGACCTGATGAGGCTTAGGCTTCGCGATGGATTGGGCAGCCTACATCTGGTTCTATGGCGGATCCCAGTGTGAGGTTGGCGTTCTACCGTCGAGCTCTTGACAACTTGACCCCTTCTTATGTGTTTTGGACATCTATCCATCAGAGGCCTTATCAGGCAGTGTGTCGCTCATTGTACACTGGAGTGATCCGGTTCGCTGATATAGGCGAGTTCTATGATCCAGCCCGTTGCCTCCGACAGTTTGGATAACGACAGATGGTACCACCTGCCCCTTCGCGGACTCAGCGAGCAAACCGACCAGAGGCACCTGGTGGATATGTCTTACAGATTCTTGAGAGTTTTGATGCTGCATGGGATGCTCTGTTATCCCACATGGTTCATATAGACATGTACTCTCAACCCTGGACGACGTATCCATATGAGACTACGATCGACTATCTTGACTGGTTTGTGGCGCACTGTCACTGTAGAGTCCTACAAGATGATGGAGATGCAGATCGACTAGTTGACTCCGCAGCGGTAAGATTTGACCCCTTGATCGTTTAAATTTTAAGTATACTTAGCGTGAAACTAACTATTGTTCTTACTTATTTGTGCAGCATGCTCGCGACCTTTTGTACACGCTTCCGCCTGCGGTTCGAGCAGCCGCAGTTACTGAGGAGGAGTGACTTGAGCATCATCGACGAGCCTACAGGGCACTACACGGAGTGCAGGATGTGTGGACTGAGTACTGGGTGTCTCGGGTGCTCCCCCCTCCAGGGGATTTTCAGTTGTTTTGATGTTTGGACCATTTATGATTTGTACTACTTGTGTTTAGATCGGTTGTTTATGTTTATACTGCATGTTTGCATATTTATGTTTAGATCGCATGTTTGACTACTTATGTTTGGATCGGATGTTTGCATATTTCTACAGTCGTGATACCTCTAAATTGATAGTTATCTACAAGGAATCAGGGAATTAGTTCAGTATGAAAAGAAAGAACATAAACAAGATGTCTTGATAATGACACTAGGGCCATTCCATGGTCAATATGAACTAATTTAGAGAGATTTAAAATACAACTAGAAAAACAACATACAAATAAAGCATTGGAACACTATGCATTGCTCCTACCCCTAACCCTTTCCCTAGCATTTTAGGGGTCTCTTTGCCTGGCTCGCTGCCGACCACCAAGACTCGCAAACAAATTTTGTCCAACCTCGAGAATAGCTCCCCACTTTGCCACATTAGGATGTGCTAGCCCATGCCAAAGTGGATGCAGAGCGGGTATGGGAAACTGATCCTGGTCGAAGTACAATCAAATGTAGTGGTTGTTCACATAGTGTAGTGATAAGAACATGGTTAGTGGTGCCGTACCTGGTTCCGCATCAATAGGCAATACAATATAGGCATCATCGTAGCGGTTGGGTAGTGGACGGTTTGCATTATTGACATCATACAACTGGTATGAGAAGACCATGATTACGATGTTGTAGATGGTGGAAAACACCAACAAGTCTCCAGAATTCATCCATCGCGCTGGTGGTGCATGACCCACCTCGAGCCAATTGATGCGTTGAATGTGAGCTGCTGGGGCACCATTATACAAGTTCTCGTACTTCCAGAAATGTTGTTGGATTTCTTGGACAATCGTCGATCTCATGAGAAGATAGTGACTATCATCCCCATAAATACAATGAGAAAGTGCCCTAAAAACATAATGGTCATCTGGTGTAGGGTTGAAATCGCCTATTAGCAAAGGTTGAACAAACTCTGGAAAAAGCTCCTCGATGTAAGGGTAAGAATATTGCCCTGGAGGGCTCTAGGATGAGTAATCTACAAAAATATACCAAACGGTCAAAATTACTAGGAAAAAAGTTACAAATATAAATAAATTACTACTAGATGGACTAATATTAAAACATTAGAGTTCAAACTCATATGTATCATGCTCGTCGGATTAACCTCCACTCGATCGCCCCCTGCCTCCACTCGATCGGGACCTGCCTCCACTCGATCAGGATCTGCCTCCACTCAATCGGGACATGCCTCTAGTCGAACCAGGCCCGGTATCCTCGAACGAGATCGCTCATAATATGAACGAATGCGACTGGTGCTTGTTCGAGGTCGCCCTCTCGTATTCTCATTCACTTCCGGTTCCCTCACATTCTCCTCTGCTAGGTGAAGCCAATAGAATATGGCATCTCTTACTTATCTCACTGCTTCAGGACCTCTTTCTTCCACCTCAACAGTAAGACGCCTAAAGTGTTGTCGTTGAAGTTCAATTTCATCACTTACTTGTTGTTGAAATGGGGGGGGGGGGGGGTTATAATCCAAAGTCTGCCAGAATACATGCAACTCTTGAGCATAGAATTGACGTCCTTCTTCCTTAGTTTGAACAACCTGGCAAGCACACTTCAGCCCATGTGTCATCTGAAAATGACACGCACAACTGTCCACCAACTCCACCACCCCATCTAACATTAGTTTGATTGCCTCACAACTAACGACCCTCCTCAAAAACATGCATGAAGCCTCAATTGTCTTACTCAGATTACGGTTCAGTGACTTACGCAGTTCATTCACCACTTCCAGAAACTGATGTTCCATGTAGTTGTTGTTCTTCGCAAAACAAGTGTCAATCTCTCCTCTCCCAGACACAAGGAAAGTCTTGAATGAAGAGCGAGATGACTCAACTCTATTCAAGCTCGTGTTACAAAGATGAAACACATGGTTCGTGTAGAAATTTGCCCACATCGTCTGATGAGGCAACCACTCACCTCGCACGTAGTCGACCATATCTACGTTCTTCAATGTCCAAACTCT